CAGCCACATCCAGCAGGACTGACAGGGAGATGCTGCATCTGTTCTGGAACTGTGCTGGGCTGCAATTCCACCATCCAGGGATTGTTTTCCTCTCTCCTGCAAAGCTGTCCTGGGACAAAAAAAAAAAAAAAAAAAAGGATTTTTTTTGGTCCCCTGTTTTCCCCTCTAATCATTATCAGTGGGAATTTTGCTGTGGAGTGGCTCAGCACAAACACAGCTTTGCTGCTTCTTGGTGGGAATGAGGGAATTCTGCAGCTGCAGCATTGGTACACCCAGAAATTTCCTTCCAGCTGCCTTTTCCCAGTTCCCAGGGCACAACAAACCCTGTTCCCCATCGCTGTTTCCCATAATCTCCCCACACGCTTTGCCTGCCACCTTGGTGTGGCTAAAATTGTGGCGAGGAGCAGCAAGAAGTTGCAAGCAAAATGACAAAAGCAAGCAAAATGACAAAAGCAAGCCCCAAAAATCCCCCTGAACAAAGGGCCCTTCATGCAGGAACCAAGCAGCTGAGGTGATTTGCACCCACAGGACCCGTGCAATCCCAAGGAAAAGTTGATTTTCCAGGTGCACACAGGAATGGTCTAGCCCAGGTAGGCAGAGCCACGCCCAGGGATGAGAACAAACCAGAAAAAAATGAGAGTTATTCACACCCTTATTCAGCTGAATGGTTTTCATTCTTTAAAATAGAATCATCTTTTATTGCAGCCAGGCCAAAGGGTTTTTTTCCTTCTCCCTGCTCTGTTTCTGTGGGATATGGAGTATGGGCTCATGAAGAAGCAGGAAAGCAGGAGGCTGAATGAAGCCTTTCCCTGCAGCCTGAACTAAAATTCCCTGGTGCTCTGAAGCACTGCCTGATTTCCTCTCTGTGAATTCTTTTTCTCTGGATTTCTGAGCATCTGGAGCCCAGCTGTGCCCAGAAGGAGCATCTCAAGCAAAAGGGTTTTTTTGTGCCTGAGGCAGGGCCAGACTCCCCAGCAGATGAAACGTGGCCAGCAGCAGGTGAAGGCAGCTGGTGCCCGAGAGAAAAGTGCTCTTTGTCACAACATCTGTCCCCAAAACTGGCCCAATCCCAGCCAGGGGCTGAGACCTCGCAGGGGAAAGGGAGTGTGAGAGAGGGGAGCTGGCTCCAAGAAGAAACAGGAGCTCTACCACACCACGATTGCCTTAAAGCCAATCATCTACAATTAAATACATCTAAAATTAAAGTAATAACCCACCCCTCGTGGCTCCTACTCCAGTGCATCTTTCACAGTTCCATTTCTCCAAAGTTCCCAGTCTTATTTGCAAGGTCATCCTTTCAAACTTATTTCTAGTTCCATTTCTCCCTCAGCAATGTCTGTCCTATCTCAGGGCATTTCTAAATCAGCATTTCTTGTCTCAGGGTTTGTGTGAGCCTTGAGAGAGGGCACGGGGTCAGCTCTGAGCCAGCTCCTCCTTCAAGCCCCAATTCTTCACCAATTCTTCCTTTTTTCCACGAGTTCAGTGAGTTCTTGAGGTGCAGGTGCCTCGTGGAGCCAGGATGTGGGATGGGGATGAATCCTGCAGGAAAATCTGCCTGGACATCAGCAGAGTGGAGCATAAATCAACATAAATCGCACATAAATTACACATAAATCACATAAACCATCACACATAAATTACACATAAATCATCACACATAAATCAGACATAAGTCAGATATAAATCACACAGAAATCATCACACAAATCACACATAAGTCACATATAAATCATACATAAACCACACGTAAATCACACCTAAATCATCACACACAAATCACACATAAATCACGCATATAAATAACACAGAAATCACATAAAAATCACATCATCACATATAAATCACATAAAAATCACACAGAAATCATCACATATAAATCATCACACATAAATCACATATAAATCATCACACACAAATCACACAAATCACACAGAAATCATCACATAATCACACATAAATCACAAAAATCACACACAAATCACACATAAACCTCACTCCCTCCCCCATCACTGACCCCCCAGAGTTTCCCCGGGGGAATCTGCCCATGGGGGAGCAGCAGGAGCCTCGTTTTCTTTGAGAATTCCCTACAAATCCACTTCCCACACCCCAGCCGGGCTGGATTTCCTCCCTCCTTCCCTTGCCCACGTCCCTGGCAGGAGAGCCCTGCACAGCTGAGCCCCTTTCAGGCCAGGGCTGAGGATGAGGAGTTTTGTCCCCAAACATTTGTTCCTGAGTGCTTCAGGGACACAGAAACGTGCTGGCAGAAATGTTACTCCTAAAAAAAATTAAAAATATTTATTAAAACCGTATCAAAAATAATAGACTGAATAAAGAAAATATTACAGCGCCAGGAGCAGAGGATTTTCCCCACCGTGTGCTCATCCACAGAATGGAGGTTTTGCCTTTTAACCCTTTAGCTCTCCCAAAGTTCTCTCCATCCACTCCTTCTCTATCTATTTAAGTAAAAGATTTAAGATTTAAGTTTAAATCCTTTAAGGATTTAAGTTTAAATCCTTACATCTTGATTGGAGGTCAGGTGCTGCCATAGTAACAAGCCAACCCTCCCAAATGTTCCCCGATAACAACACGAGGGGTGTAAAACATAACTACACATCTATAAAACCTCTCTTAACATATAAATATGATATTTGCCTTTGAATTGTGAGAGTTCACCATTGCATGTCACAAATGTGAGGGCTGCTGGCCAGCACAGCTAAAATAGACACCAAAAAGCAAATTTTTTTCCCCAAATATGCTGAGCCTGAAACAGCCCTGAGTGGTGAGGGGAAGCTGGTGAAGAACTTCTCAAGGACAAAGCAGATATTCTGGGCTTCCAGCAGCAGCAAGTCTGGAGGAAGTCTGCTCTGGTTTCTAATTTTATTTCTGTTCATCCGTGTAGGGTCTAGGGCTTGGCTTCCTCAGCTTTGTCCTGAGCTTGGGAACAATGGAGGAGGCACAAGTGGAGCTGGCAGCACCTGAAAGCAGAGAGGGAAACTGCTGGACACGAAATGAGTACACAGAAGTTTGGTGAGTTCAAGAGAGAAAGAAGAGCCAATTTTGTTTCTGACCTCGCCATATTTAGAATTCTAAAAGTGGCAGTGGGTTGGAGGGTGACACACTGGTTAAACCAACAGCTCATCAATTCTCTCCACCCACAAAACAATCTTCATTTACACGAACAGTGCGTGAAAACTCCAGTAGAAATATGTAATTATCAGAAGGCTAAAGGACTTTTAGGAGAAATTTAAAACTTTCCAAAGAACTGTGAAAGAAAACTTAACACTTTTAAAAATCAGGGCAATGGGAAACCAGCCAGCACCTGTGGCTTGGCTGGGAGCTCTGGCTTTGACTCTCATCTGCCCCCGGGGTTCACAGGAACCGTGGAAAGGTCCAGCCCTGCACATCCTGCCCGCTCTTCGGAGGCTCAGGGCCAGGAGCCTGCCAGCCTCTCCTGCTGGCACCCAGCTGGCCCTGCCAGGCTGGCCCGGCTCTCCTTGATGCTGAGCCCCACCTCATTTCAAATTTATAACAATTCGGAGGGAGGGGGTTCACATTTTTCCATTCCAGGGGAGGCTCCTGCCTTGCTCAGCAGACACCTGGCTGTTCAAACTCAGCCAGAGGGTGACAGGCAACCCAGTGCCCAGGGGAGCATTGCCAGGGCAGCTCGTGCCCCACGCTGGAGGATCAGCTTGTGGCAGGCACGTTTTTCTCCCTTCCAGGATTTTTCATAGGGGAGCACAGAGGAAAGAAAGAGAAAACATTTTGTATTTCTGCTCCTTGTTTTCCCATGTGGAATGTGTGTGGAGAATTGTTTCCCTGGGGTGATTGTTGGTTTGGTTTTTGTTGGGGTTTTTTTGGGCTGGTGGCCAATCCAACCCACCTGGGGCTGGGCTCTCAGAGAGGGGCACGAGTTGGGAGTCAGATATGGGAGTTAGAAAAAGTGGGTTTGTAGTTTTAGTATCTCCTTTAAATAGTATATTCATGTGTTATAGCATAGTTATAATAAAGAAATCATTCAGCCTTCTGAGCTGGAGTCAGACATCAGCATTTCCTCCCACCAGGCTCCCCTCATTTACAATATCAGCTGAGAGAAGGGGCCCTTGCAGGCACTCCCAGATTATTCTTTCCTTAATCACTTAAAAAGTCCCCTTTATTTTTTTTTTCCTTAAAAAGTCTCTTCTTTAATCACTTCCATCCATTCTAACCAAGTTCTCCAGCAGAGCTGGAAACAATCACCAGTGCCCAGTTGGAGAGAGGGGAGGGAGCAGAGGGGAACTTCCCTGAAGACACTCAAGTTTCAGTGAAGCAATGGAGAGAGCACAAGGAACTGTCCAGAACATGTTATCAGGGCTTTATTACCATGTTCTATCACCGTGCAGATCCTGCCAAATTAGCTGGAGAGTTTTCCACAGAAAATGAAGCATTTGGAGTGCCCGGGCTGAGCTGGGGAGCAGCACATCCTCTCATGGTATGAGCAGCAGGTTCCAGCTTCCTTTCCCCTGCCTCCCTGGGAGCAGGAATGGAGCATCCTCCCAATAAACCCTCTGTTGTCCTTGGCTCTGGAAGATGCTCTTCCTGATCTCAGCTCAGCTTGACAGATGGTTTGTGTTTGCAGCACCCCCAGCTGAGTGTTCCAACAGCTGAATAACCACTGAGACTTCTTCCTGTGCTTCACCTGGACCAGCCAGTGACGGGGAAGCACAAACAACAAACACGGGCCTGACCAAAGGAAATGTTTTTGTGTCCTCTGAGTGCCTCAGAACCAGGTCAGGGCCGTGGCTTTGAGCATGGACATCTTGCAGGGGGATTAAATCCACGCATTGTTGCACTTGGAAAAAAAACAACAAAACCAAAACAGTGAAAATAAATTTCTCTCTGTCCTCCCTGCTGTGCTCTGGGCTGGTTTGGGAGCTGCCAGGACAAAGCCCTGCCTGTGGGAGTGAAGAGGAGGCAGAGCCAGGGATCCCCACATCTGTGGCACAGTCCCTGCCTGGCACACGGGCACTGCAGGCTGGCACAGCTGCCCCAGCCCCTGGTCCAAGGCTCGGGATCAGGCTCTGGGCTCTCCACAGGAAATTTAGGATCAATCCAGCTCCTCCTCGGAGCTCCAGCACTGCTGGAATGCCTGGCTGGGGCTGTGCCCCTGCCAGGACACCCGGAGGTACAGCCTGGGCTGTCTGCTCTGCTGCGGCATCGCAGGTAAATTCATTTCCCCTTCCTTATTAAAATACTCTGTGAAATGAAATACCTAATGAAATGCAAGTTTGCTTTATTGGGGAGGCTGTAGCAAATAACTCTGGGTTTCTTTGCAGGGACAGCAGCGGGGAGGGTTCATTACAATCCCTGCCAGGCTGAAGAGTGTTTTCCTTTTAAAAGCAGTTGGATGAAACAACAGGTGAGCAAAAGGAACAGCAGCTTGTATCAAATATCTGTACCCAGTGAGCAGACACTGCCCTCAGGCAAAACCTGGTTATCCTCCAGCACGATCTTCCTGTCTGGAGCAGAACTTTCGTGCTTTTCTTCAGTCTTGTCAAAAAATGTCAACTCATTTTTCCTCCTTTTTATTTTTTTCCCCTCCAGTTCACTTCCCCCGGCAGCCACCCCTGGTTATTGCTCTGGGTGGTATCAGGGCCACACAGGGCAAATAGCAGGAAAAATCAATCCTCAGGAAGGGAACAAAAATTCCATTTTACCTTACAGTGCTACCAAGTGGAGAACAAGAGGTGGTTCTGCTGCAGCCATGGCTTTGAGATGGAGCAAACTCCTCCAGGGGGGACTGGGCACAAACTTTATTTCTCCAGAAAACTGGGAATGGTTCCAAAGGGCAGACAAAATGGTTCTAAAGGGGAGGGACAGCAGCCAGTGATGAGCAGGAACAACACCAACAAACAACACCAACAAACAACACCAACAAACAACACCAACAAACAACACCAGAGGGGATTTGGAAGGATGAAGCTGTCCTGCTCTCCCTACACCTGTCCCATGCTGTGTTTTCACTCCACCGCAGATTTTTGGGATAAACCACAGGGTGATTTGGAAGGATGGAAGGATTTGGAAGGATGAAGCTGCCCTGCTCTCCTTATACCTGTCCCACATGTGTTTCCTTTGCAGATTTTTGGGATAAACCACGTGGTGATTTGGAAGGATGAAGCTGTCCTGCTCTCCCTACACCTGTCCCATGCCATGTTTTCACTCCACTGCAGATTTTTGGGATAAACCACAGGGTGATTTGGAAGGATGGAAGGATTTGGAAGGATGAAGCTGTCCTGCTCTCCCTCCTCCTGTCCCATGCCGTGTTTTCACTCCATTGCAGATTTTTTGGAATAAACCACAGCGTGACCTGGCTGAGCAGTGGCAGCTCTGCGGGGAGGGCTGAGGATGAGGACAGGCACAGGGAGGGGACACTGCTGGTGCTGCAGGCTCACACCCAGGCCTTGAGCTGGGTGCTGCAGCCCCTGGCACAGCACGGAGCCCCCTGCCCGCGGCCACACCAGCGGCCCCCCTTGTACAGGGCCAGGCTGTAGGGCTGGAAGCACACCAGGAGCTGCAGGCGCCGTGCCAGGCTGCAGTAAATGGCCATGGCCACCACCAGCAGTGGGGACATGATGACAAAGCCCAGGATGATGAGGGCAGAGGAGCTGTTGTCGTCCAGGATGCTCTTGCAGTAGCGGGCAGAGGAGTGCAGCACCTGTGGGGAGAGAGAGGAGCACAAGCAGGATCATTAAATTGGAAAAGAGCTCCAATGAGTGACCTTATCCCTCCCTACAGCTCCCTGAAATTTGGCTGTGGCCAGGTGGGCTTGGGCTCTTTCTCCAGGAACTGACAGAACCAGAGCACACAGCCTTGAGTTCCACCAAGGGAAATACAGGTTGGATATTGGGGGAAAGGTTTTTACAGAAAGGGGGATAAGGTTTTTGACAGAAAGGGGGATAAGGTTTTTTATGGAAAGGATGATAAAGTTCTCCCTGCCCAGGGAGGTGGTGGAGTCTCCAGCCCTGGGTGTGTTTAACAAAGCCTGGATGTGGCACTGGGTGCCAGGGTTGGGTTGAGGTGTTGGGGCTGGGTTGGACTCAATGATCTTGAAGGTCTCTTCCATACTGGGGATTCTGTGAATTCTGTGGATTTTGTGAATTCTGTGAATTCTGTGATTCTGTGAAAAGTCCCACATGAACCCAACCCTGTCACATGGCCTGGTGCTGACAGCAGTGGCCAAAACACCCTTGAGTTTCCAATGTTTTCATGCAAAAATAAAACATTTTCTTTTGCTCCCTCTCTCAGAGCTGAGTGATCCTCAGGTACACTCTGTGACTGATATCACATCTTAATCAAGCTTTCAATGATCCCTGTGAGACAAGAGCACTGCACACTGATCCTGGAGCAGGAAACACTCATCTCTATTCAATCATCCAATAGCATTTGATAGGCACAAACCAAATCCAAAAGCCTCCTGGTGCTACATCAGTGTGGGTGGCACAACACTGGGAAAAACAAACAAATAAATAAATAAAACCTATTTTCAAAATATATTATATTATAAATTTATATTAAATATATACATTTGTATTTTATAGAAATAAGAAGGAATGTAAAATATCTTTATAAATATATAAATAAAAATAAATATAAACATAAATAGAAATACAGAAATCTGTTTGATTCTGCAGACAGGTGCTGGTCATTCTGTGGCTCTCCAGACCCCTTGGTGTGTACACTTATTTCTGCCCGAAAAATCTGCCACTTGCAAAGAAAACCGTCCTGGGCCTGCCTGAATGTGGTATGTCCCCAGATTTTATTCTTTTCTCCTTTCAGCAGTGAAAGGAATACAGCCCACCACGCTAAAAATCAACAATAAATCCACCTAATGGAGCTGCAGTGCAGAAATCAGCCTCTGGCTGCCGAGATGCTCAAAACCAGCTCTGGTGGAGCCACAGTCCCTTGCTGTGATTGCAAGAAAGAAAAAGCTGAGTTTAAAAGTCTCCTCACAGCTTCCAGCAGCTCAGGGGCTTCCACTTCTGGTCCACTTGGCTGCACTCAAAAACATTCTGCATCTCCTCCAAGCCTTTGGGTGTGCGTGCAGAGGAGAATTTGGGGTTTTCCAAGGTGAGGGAAGCTGGAAGGGGCAGTTCTGGGAGGGTTTTTTCCCATTTTCAGTCCAATTTGCAGGCCCTGTTTATGACTTAATGAAAAAGGCCCATTGAGCTGGTCTAACAGTCCGTGCCTGCAAGGGAAACAGGGAATTGTTTTTTAATATCCACCCGTGGTCAAGTGATCCCAACAATGTTTAAAGGGCTATACCAAGAAGGGGTTTGTAAATAAGGAAATGATGCAAATGCAGAGGGCAGCAAAGAGAGCCTGGATAGACAAAGGAGGCTCGTTTTTGGTGTGAGGAATGCACAGAATGTTTGGGAACAGGAATGTTAGACTGGCACGAGAAGGGGATTATATATTCTGTCAGATTTTACTAATCCTATCATTAGACAGGTCCTAATGGATCTTAAACTCACTTAAACAGAAAGCAGCAAACCCTAGCAGAGCCCAGGCAGGACTGTGAGCTCTGGAGCTCAGGTTGGCAGCTCTCAGTGACAAAAAAATCCCAGGGAAGAGAGAAATATTGTGAAATTAAAATGCAAACAGCAACTCCACCAGGGCAGGGAGCGCGTTCACCTCACCTGGCACCTCAGCTTGGCGCTTCCATGGGGACACAACTTCATTGCCCAATTTTCCTTGTCAGCCCAGACTATTCACACGGGGAAAAATCTGTTTCCTCGGGGAAACAAAATCAAAACCTGGGGAGTCCTGCCTGGCCTTTACAGCCACCGTTCACCTGGGGCTCAAAGGAACCCTCAGGTGAGGCCCTGCCCTTGAGGAGTGGCACTTACCTGGGAGTGGCACTGGAAGCCAAAGTAAACCACCACGATGGTAGGAAGCAGCACGACGGTGAAAATCACAAACATCAGGAGCAAATTGAGGAGGAAGACCAGGGAGTTGGTGGCTCCTATCAGCAGGGCCCAGGCCAGGCAGCAGCCGGGGCTGCGGGGCTCCCCGGGAAGGAGCCGCTCGTCCATGTCGTACGGGGGGAGCCCAGGCATCATCCGCGACTTTTCCGACAGCACTTCTGTTCCAAAGTCCTCAGGCTCCTGGCCAGACATCCTTCAAGAAGATCTACCAACACCAACCCACGCTCTTAGCCAAAAATATTTCCTTGCTTTTGGTCTAACAGAGATGGGAAGGAGCTCGCAAAGGCTTCTTCTGCCTCTTCCAGGAGCCCCTAAGCAGAGATCATCATGGAGCAAGCAAGGAAAGCTCTCCTTGGGCTCCCAGCTCCCCTGCTCAGCACAGCTGGCTTCCTTCAGATGCTTTTCCCAGCCTCAGTCCCAACGTAGATCTGCTGGAAGTTTGGCAGTAATTTTTGTTTTGGTTTAGAATCCAGAGTCCTACGGAATTTGCTGCTGTTTTTCCCCAGGATTACGATCCCAAGAGGTTCCAAAGGGTTGCTGTGGTGGCTGTGATGGGCTGCTCAGTGGGCTTTGGTATCCCCCTCCACCTTCGAGCCCAGCTGGGTGCTCAGGGTGTCAGGCTTAGGTTCAGGATATCAAGCTCAGGTATTCAGAATATCAGGCTTGGATGTTCAAGATGTCAGGCTTAGGTGTTCATCAGATCAGGCTTAGATATTCAGAATATCAGACTTAGATGTTCAGGATGTCAGGCTTAGGTATTCATCAGATCAGGCTTAGGTATTCAGAATATCAAGTCTGGGTGCTGAGAATATCAGGTTTAGGCACCCACAGGCAGTTCCTTGTCTTCAAATCACCTTCCCATGCTCTTCACCCTGTAGCCAAGCAAATATTCCTGCCCAGGTCTCATCCAAAGGAGGTGAGCAGGGAAGAGGAAGGGCAGGAGCTGTTCCCCAGCCTCTGGAGCCCTGCTGCCCTCCCCTGCAGCAGAGATGGGAGCAGTGTGTGGTGGTGTCACTGCTCTCAGCTGCCTGCAGTCACAGCCACTCACAGCCAGCAGTGTGGTCCCTCCTGAGCTCAGCTTTGCAAGGCTGCTGTGTTCACAGAACAGCCTCAGTGCTCTCCGTGCTGGCCAATCCTTCACATCTGTCTCCCCACGGCTGGGGAGGAACACGCAGCACCCCAGAGCCACGCTCCAGCCATCCATCCCCAGCTCAAGATGGTCCCTCTCCAACTTTAATTATTCTGCCTCTGATTCATTTTCTAAAATTCCTCTCTAGATTAAAAAAAAAAAAAAACCTTAGAGAAATTGATAATCATCACTGTATTCCTCAGAAATCAGCTGTTCCCTGCAGTCATCTGTTGTTTGCAGAACATACTGATACTCTCATAGAGGAGGCACAGCAATTATCAATTATTTCATCTACCTCATAAGATCAATGTTATTTAAGAATTTCAGTGCCATCTCCATGCCTGTGTAGCCTCCAAGATACAGTGAGAGTAATAAGAGACAGATATTAAAAAATACAGAGAGAAACAACCTCTCAGGCAGCCAGCAGAGTGTGACAAGTCCATTTCCATCGTGCTCCTTCCCTGCACTCTGGGGCTGGATGGCTCCCAGGGGACTTTGCAGGGCAGCAGCCTCCACTCAAGCTGCAAAATGTGAAATCTCTTCTCAGATCTGTCCAGACATCCCGAGGGAAATAAAGAACGGCTGCATCCATCCTGTTTTCAGTGCTGCACAGGCCAGAGCCAGTGTTAATAATAAAATCTGAAGCTGGGCAGGAAACCATAAATGTGACAAGTGGCAGGGAGCTCTGAGAGTCTCAGTGGTTACTTTGTCTGTCTAAACTCTGTTTAGATTTAAAGACATAATATTTTTCAAATTTGATTTATGCCTTTGAAGTGAAAAAAAGGACGAGTCACACAAACAGAAAGAATCCAACTCAAAACTATAGGAAGAGAAATCAATTTTAGGCTTAAACCGTGGAAAGATTAACTCGGTGCTGGGCAACTAAAAATCCTACAGCTGCTTTTACCATCTGCTGGTGATGGCCAAGGGGTGTGGTGAAACACAATTTAAGCATTCATAAAAGTGCCATAAATTCTAAGAAGCTTTGCTAAATCCAGCGAAACTTTCCAAAATTCTTTTGCTGTCATGAAAATGCATTTTAACCTTTTCAGGGAGGTCTGAAAATTGTGTTCTGTACATTTATTTTCTAAAGGTTCTTGTAATAACCAAGCGAACTTTGTGTCAGACAAACCTCAGCGATATGAAGAAAGATTTCTCTCTAATTCTCTGAATTTTCTTCATTCTTGACAAGAACTTTCCCAGAAGTGGGGAAGATCTTGATGATGGAGCATTTTATAAGAGGAGCATGATTGCTTTGAGATGCTGGAAGTGGTGATGATTAAAGAGCATCAGAAAAATCCATCAGTTCTCTGACGCCAAGGACTGCTGCTCCCATGGAATCATTTTCTGGCAGCACCATCTTGTGGTTTGCTGCAGTTCATAAATTTTCAATTTATGTCTCTTATTCTCTAACCCTAACCCTTAGGGGATGCTGTAAGACTTGTTATCCACCATGGAATCCTCCCAGCCACCGAAAACAACACCAGATCTCCTCACATTGGTGGCTGGAGCGCTGCTGGGGATCCAAAATCCCAAATCCCTCGCTGAGCTATGGGGATGCACGTTCCAAGCAGGCCAGCTCCTTTTCACAGGGAATTTTGGTACAAGCCCAGCACACCGTGTGTGCCTGCTCCCAGCTGAGCTCTGGGTTTGGGCTGGTTTGGGTCACACCTCGGGTGGGTGATGAGGGTGCCGTGGTCGCTAGAGAGGGCTGGGATCAGCTAAAGGTTCTTCACCGAGAGGGTGAAGGTTTCTGGTGACCCGAGGAAATGGCTGCAGCTGTGTCAGGGAAGGTTTAGGCTGGATTTTGGGCAAGGTTCATCCCCTAGACTGTTCTGGGGCACTGACAGGCAACGAGCACAGCTCCAGGAGCTCCAGGAGGGTTTGGACAACACTCCCAGGGGTGCATAGAGTGGGATTTTGGGGTGTCTGTGCAGGGCCAGGGGCTGGGCTGGATAATCCCTGTGGGTCCTTTCCAATTCAGGATATTCCGTGACTACACGGCTGTCCTCAGGCTGGGGCAAAGGATAGTTTTTATAAAACTACCAGGGAAAAGCCACTGTGCTGTGGAGAGGAGCCGGGGGAGGCAGCAAGGCTGGGGGAGACCTGGGAAAAGGCCGGGGAAGGACCGGGAAAAGGGCTGGGGACAGCAGAAGGACTGAAGGAAGGGCAAGGGGAAAATGGGGAGAAGGGGAAGAACTGGAGGAAGAGCTGGAAAAACGACGGGGAAGAATCAGGAGAAGGACCGGTGGAACGACCGGGGGAAGGAACGGGGGAAAGGCTGGAGGAAGGACGGGAGGAAGGACCGGGAAAGCTCGGGG